GTATTTTTAAGAATTATAGGTTTTCACAAAATTTTAAACTGTTGTAAAAACAAATCATACTGGATCAATAATTGGTTTTTCAAATTTTCTTTCCTATACAATTGTTATTTTATTTCATTAATCTTAAGTGACTAAAAAAAAAAAAAAAAAATAATATGTAAACTAAGATTTAAATTTCTAATTTCCAAAGTAGAAATGATAATAGTTTTGTACGACTGAGATTAACAAATTTATTAATTAAATTAATATTATCTAATTTAAATAATAATGTTTGCATCAGAAACAATAAACTTTACAATTGTGCTGTATGTTATTGACCTTGAATGACTTGAACCAATCACAAGTCCACGATTGAATACTGCAGTAAATTGGCAATACTAAAAAAACCGAGATTATGAACTTTGTACTAGGTCGCCATATTTTTTAATTAATAGTAATTCAAATAGAATGTATTAAACATTTAATGATATAGATCTTATAAACCGTTAATGACGTAAAATAATTTATTATATAATTATATTATTTAAAATGTTAAATTAATTAGCAAAAACAAGTACGAAAAAATAATAGAAATGATACTTTGATACTATTACACTATTTGACCTACCTGTCCGGAAATGAAGGTAGAGGGAGGAATTACTACATATACCTATATATAGAGCTAAAATGAATATTAACATTTATTTTCGAGTCAGATTCAAATCGTCCCGGCTTCTAAAATATTGCAGATCGTCCAACAACGTTTTTTTGTAAGTATTATCAGAATATTATGTGTAGAAATAAAAGGGAGATTAGATGATCGCTTGCTTTTCTGTACGGTTAGGCATCAAGCATACCTCATCATTGTGTAAGTTACACGATTTTTAAATTTCGACAGCATTACATTTATTATATTTTAAATGTTTAACTTTGAATTATAAAAACAATTAACAGTACATATAATTATATAATCTATAATTGTTATTAATTTGTGAGTCAATACTGCCTTGAATGAGGAAGATGCGAATAGGTTTGTGATACAAATAGGGTAAAGCTTAAAATTGATGTATTCGCGATCTGTTACTATACATTTTTTACTGTAAAATAATTTGTAGTACTTCCAATAATTCGACTGATTATATTTTTCATAAAAATAATTCTTCATCGTTGTTGAGTTTATGAAGATGAATTAATTACGTAATTCGGAAGAAAAAATATATATATTTAATATTCTACGTTTGTAATGTCATTTTTATTTATTTATTTTTATGTTTTATTTTTTATCAATTAACATGCAATGACCATCAAAGGACGTGCAAGACATATTACAAGTGTCACCGTCATCCATAAATTTGGCAAACTTTGGAAACCGAACTGCAACTTCACATATATTAATTTTAAAATTCACACATATACTCTTATTTAAAAAAATATTATGGTTATGATTAGTAGAATATTCATTGTTTTATTAGTAATTTTTGTGATTGTTTCTGCTTCTACTGACTTTGATGATATAATAGCATCAAATGATTTGAGACCATGGACCAATGAAGATACTCTGGCATCTCAGGCTGCTCAACAAGGGACTGATAAATTTTTAGGAATTCTTCTCAAGTATGTTGTCAAAAAAGTGATAGTAAGAGGAGCCAAAAGACTTCTTGCTTACGCTATTGTAGATGGTGCAGGAAATGTCGTCGACGATGTATTTAAGATAGAAGACGCTTAGATTTGGTTGAAAGTGATATATATTTTTTTAAGTGTTGTATAATTCATCGTGATAATTATTTATAATTTTATGATGCGTTACATTGCACACATTTGGTTTTTATTAACTCAATATGTTTTTTTTTCACTTTCTGTATTTCATTATATAGAACCGTTTGTAGATAGTACTAATCAATCAGTTAATATATCTCAAGTAGGTAGTGATTATGGGTATAATTGCAATTACATACATTATAAATCACAAACTGTTTATAGTTATCAAGTTCACTTAGATCGCACTATTTATATGAGGTATAAACGCCGAAAATGCAATAATAAAACCGTGCCGTATGATCCTCCTAATATAGAAGTTAACAGACCTAATTGTTTGAATGAAGACTTTTATTTCCAATTAAGTACAAAATTAGATATTATTCCATATATGCCTCTTTATGGAATGAGTTGTCTCAATGAAACTGATATCCTGTCGAATTTTTCGTGTGTTTTGGTCGCCGAAAAATATCCTGATATTGGAAAATTACCGGCACCACGATGTTGTAAGATTTTTCAGTGTAGTAGGATATGTAGAAGAGATGAATTTTACATGTATAAAGATTGCAAATAACTATTAAATCATATATTGGTTATTTTAAACTTAAATAAAATTGCTATTGGACTTTTATTCGATACTCAATGTAAATATAACTCCCATACGGTCACACTTAACACATAATTATATGTATGTTAGAACTATTTCAAAGCAATAAAGAAATTTATTTAATAAGAAATAAAATATGTTTATGAATAATTAATTAAATCTACCATTAAATCGTATACCTATTAGTTTTTTTAAACTTAAATTGCTATTGGCCTTTTATTCGATACTTAATGTAAACATAACTCCCATGCATACCCTTAACACATAATTATGTATGTTCAAACTATTTCAAAGCAATAGAGTAATTGTTTTCATGAAAAATAAAATATGTTTATGTATAAATAATAATTAATTAAATGATAATTAATTAGATAATAAAATATTCAATGAAACCAAGAAAAAAAAAAATTAATTCCGAATTTTTATTAGAATATTAAAAAAACGAATTATATACTTTATTATTTTAGTGTAAAGATAAATTGTTTATGAATGCTGTGTTCTTAGCATAATATATTTAAAATGTAGATAGCATACTTTGTGCTTGTAGTACTAATAATATTAAATGTGTATGAGCTATATCATAATTTAAGAGCTGGTGGGTATTGTCCACCGGCCATTAGAAAATAGATAATTTAATTGTATATCATTATGATTTTCACAGTTAACAATAAATAATTACTATATGTTATTATTTAATACAACAATTTAAATGATTTAAATAAAAATATAGAAGAGATATTATCTACTTTATTAACCTATAAATTGTACTTATTCATTAATTTTTCTATTTTAACTTCAACAGTAAAAATTAAGCTTTAGACACACAGATTATTTTGTGTTATTAATATTACTATTATAAATTCAAAATATTGTTATAATGTCATAGACAAATTACTAATGACGTTAGTGTATAAAATAAAGCTGATTAAAATCAACGACAAAATGATGTCCAAATATTGTAATTTATATTTTATGAAATTTTTATATACTATTTGGCTTTTTTGTATAATAATTGATGATAAAATTACAATTAGATACTCGTATATACGGCGTTTAATGTGAGCGATTGAAAGATTTGAAAGTATATCTATACATATTTACTCGATATACACCTACTCGTCATTATACGGAAAGCACAAGACTTGGTGATTTGAACCAATACCAAAACTTTATATTTTTTTTTTACGTCTATTTAACCCATTGTATAGAATAATTTTTTTTTAATTCAAAATTATTTTATTTCGGGTTAAACTATTTCTTTGTCAAATATTATTAAGATATTTTTAGTGAATAAATTTTCAAAAACAATTAATTAAAATTCAACTTCCAGTAACGGTAAAATCAATACATAATCATTTTTGTGGAAGTAACAAAAACAAATCGTTAGCCGACTGCTTATTGCAGATAACTTAATGAAATTCTTTCATAGCTAAAACGATTCGAAAGGTAAGTTTTATTAAAAACGTATTTTTAGTGGTTTCAAGAATACTTAACCTTTAAAAAAAAAAAAAATCATCGATTGGTGTTAGTGGCAATTCCTTTAAAAATGATAATAATAATTCTTTGTTTTAGTCCAGAACAAAAATAATTGTTATCATCAATCCGCAATCAATCGTTATTTATTAGTATATAGATACGACTAGGTACCTCCTATATACAATTTTACTAATAGTACATTTTTTAGTTATTAAAATTCGATTGAGTTGGAAATTTGTTTTGTAGTTTTGAAGTTAAAATTTTGATTCTAAATGAAAATTTTTTAAAATTATTTTGTTAAAATTAAAATAATAATATTAATTCTAGAAACTCGAAACTTATATCGTTATTATATAGGTATGTTGAATTAACTGAACCGATATGGAGTCCGACTTTCGTGTTTTCAATTGTCTTATTATTATAATTATAATATAGTTTAAAAGTCAATACTATGTTTGCTTATAATCGGTAGGATATGTTCAGATATTAATGCTTTGTGTTGTAGTGTTGTGATTTTTATTAATTTTGCGGTAACAATATGTACATCTACATTCTTATAACCTATGTATCGACTTAACAAAGCTAAACAACCATTTCGTTGCTAATGCAGAAGCAAAATACAATACTGATTCGTTGTATTCACAGATTTATTAACAGTATAATAATATGTTAATAATGGTTACGTTTTATTGTTTTTCTATAATTTTAGATACAAAAAAAAAAAACGTCGAAGTAATTTCAAATATTTAATGACTATATCATATTTATACAATTATAATTCATTCAAAAACTTGCTGCTCATTTATTAAAAGAATATAATAGGCATAGGTTAGACGCTCGTGAGATTGTTAGCTATTCGCTATACCTATACTATTGAAACAATTGTGTTTGTGTATTTGATGTTAATTTTTATTTAAAAAATATATTTTTATTCTTTTTTCTTTTTTTTTTTTCAATGAGTACATATTAAAACTTTGAGTTTAAAACATTTATAACAAATTAACTCACTAAGATATTATGTTCCGTTCCATTTAGTTTGGTACATATAATATATATAAATATTTTATACCTAACTACAAGCAACTCAGATTTCAGCTTTAATTCAGCGTACCTAGGCCGTCTACGAGATCAAACGTATGATAAAAAAAAAAAAAAAAAAAAAAACCAGTCAATAAAAAAAAAATATGTATCAATATATATAATTAGAAAACATTAAGCTTAGTGCATTTTATAAAATAAAAATTTAATATTCATCCTTAAAACTTAATTCTACTGAGACGCATGGCCGTATGGGAAAACAAGTATTATTATTATTTATTATCTATTAAATTTCAATTGTTTCAATCTACTTAGTCGCAGCCTGCAGGCAAATACAATAGTACGTAATACGACCTGCAGCACGTAAATCAAATAATTTTACCATTAATTGTAATACGATCTAACACTGATCTCATTTTTTTAAACATGTCTATAGTGTAGATATTTGATATTATGATGAACAAATAATATAAATAATAATAAATAGTGATAAAACTAGAAAAATATACAAGTACGCCATTATTATTGGTGTGACTTTCCGTTTGAAACCGAAAAAGAAAAATGTAACGTGTCAGTGTATCAGTGTAGTCATTTACATGATAATGAGACTAGTTGGATTTCGCCGGATGGGAGTGTTGTTCTTTTGTGTTTTGAAGAACGTTTAGGTACACGAGCGGTTTGGACGACGACATTGAAATTTTTAAGCCCATCATAGTAATACAATATAATAATATGACATTCACGGAACACCGTAACGTTACACGAGGACAAAAATATGTTCTGTACGGGAGGATATAGTATCATTGTTTTATTTTTTCGACTATTTTGACCGTTTTAACTACAACGGCTGCCGCCAAAACACAGTTCACCGTCGATGCGATCGTTTTTGGTTTACGAGACACGGCCAAACGAAAAACGTCACAGTCGTAATAATGTTCAAACGTGCAGCAAGTACGCGAGTGCCGCCGGGACGAGCGCGGCCATCAAGGCGGCGCACCGTACACCCGACGCTCGACTTCGATCGCGACACACCTCCTCGTCGCAGCCGTTGGGTCCTAGGTAATTTTTGAACTTGTTCTCGATGAATTTCCACGAGCACAGGCCGACGTTGCAACCCGGGTAATCGTACACGCCCTCGTTCAGGTAAAACATCACTTTGTTCGCCTCGTCGCCTTGATCACACCTGCAGCACACGATACGCACGACTTTACAACAACAACAACAACGACGACGATAATAATAATATTATAATTATTGGCACTCGCCGCATTGAAATAATAACGGTCAGACAATGACGACAATGATTGCGCGGTCAAAGAGTATTATTGTGATCACAGCGAGTAGTGTTCACTCGTACCACTGCCGAGGTGCCTATACCTACTTATTTCGTACGGTGGTTATCGGTCGATCGTATAATATTATTATTATTATTATTATTATTATGCGGTAGGTTAGTGCGCACGCCGTACCAGCCATAAAAAAAAAAATAATAAAAAAACGTATTGTAAGGTATCAGCTGTACTAAGGTCGGTAAAGCACGATTGAACATAAAACGATAGAGCATATTATACCTTTTTAGCAACACGATTGAGCATAGAATATTGTATACAATGTTGTCACATTCACGTTGCGAACATTTTGTAGTTTATTATTTTTTCACATATTAATTACACCAATTATTAAGATATATCAGGCGCGAGCTGTGAGCCGGCCCAACTTTATCGACAACGTTATCGATTAATAAATTAATTTTAGAGCAAAAAAGTTCTACAGCGTTTTAAACATTTATCATTGGGGGAAAATATAAAACAATTAAGATACAATTCCAAAATTATTATAGATTATAGAAATAATATCAGTGTTCGATCACCTATCGTCGTGTCACATAAAGTGCGATTCTCATGTCCATGAAGTCGTTGGATATTGATCGAAACACAAACAGAAACGTTGACTAAGATCAAATCAATTCAAAATAAGTCCATAAAATTACAATCCGTTAAAGAAATTTAAAAAATAGAATTTAATATTCAAGCTTTCGACCAATATTTAAATCGTAAGAATACGGAATCTTTATTAAAATATTTAAGCCAACTTGGAAACAGATACCAAGGTATAAAAATATAATTTAATTTATTATTATTATCAAATAGATTTATATATTATATAATGTGACTACTATTGGGACTGTTATGGACTTATAAATATTTTTATTTTATTATTTTATGTCATAACTATTATTATTATTATTATTATTATTATCAAACAATCTAAATACTATTATAATGCGATTAGGTATATTACATATTGACTATGAAATCATGACATGTTATATTTTGAATTATTATAATTATTTGAATACATAATTTTGTATAATACAGTTCAAAATTAAAAAAAGGCAACGTTGCATAGTTTTTTTATGCTCAATCGTGTAGGTTTTCTTTTGTATTTTAATGTCCTTTGATACGCCGACAATTTTGCTCAATCGTGTCACAAAAAAAGGTGTTTTATGCTCAATCGTGTTACAGCCACTAAGGTATTGGTGCGATCTGTGCATGTCGCACAACGCTGTAATACAGCTGCGATAATGGCATGAACACCGTACCTACTACTTATGTATTATTGCTAAGACGATGTGGACTAAATCGATAAAGACCCTCACGCGAGTTTATCGACCGAAACCATGTTATAATATTATGTACAACGTTTCTGTTGGAATTCGTCGTGGAAAACATGTCATAATGTTGCGGAAATATCAGATTTACCCACACTATACTTAGCACGGCGTTTAAATTAATGATAATATAAACATCTATCGGACGCAGCGATTTTGGTATATTATACCGATTGGTTTTTACGCTTACGTAGGTATATCTATGATGCGATGTTTTTGCGGAATGCCCGCAGAAATTATAGCGCACAAACAACGCGGCAGTGTATTTTTCTTCTCACATATCGGATTTAACATAATCGGTCTAAACTCATTTACGAATCAAATATTATATTGTTGCGCTTACTTGTAAAACACGGCGGCAAAATTACCGGAAAATGGGTCCACTTGTGACATTCTCCATTGACGACGATACTGAACATGGTAATTGAAATGGGTCAGAGGAGTTGGATCTTTGGCCACGCCTAAAGCCAACAGCGTAGTCAACAACCCGGCCGAGGAGCCAAACCTGAATACGGCCGAAGGCCTATCGGAATCGTCATTCGCCACAGCACTAAAAAAATAAAATTCAATGATAATAATTAATAATAATCAAATTTGATAAATCAGTTATCCATATTTAACGACGTACTATAATAAGTACTTTAAGGATCTTACTTCAAATATCCCATCAGCTCTTTAGCGATCGGACATCCCACTTTTGTGTTCATTTCAGAACCATAACCGTATTTATAGTAATAGTCCAAATCTTCATAATATTCTAAAAGCTGAGTAAGAGAGTTAAACACGTTAAAAGCTGTAATCAAACTTAAATCGGTTTATTAAACACACACTCACACACCTGTAACTCTTGTCTGGTAAACAGGCCACACCATGCCGGATAAGATTCGATTACGAGTGCTTTATTATAACGGCATGATTCGTACATTGCGTGGATTATACCTATAATTATATTGTATATATATAGAAAAATGTCACGCTTGTGAAAGTAATCACCACAAATATTGTAGTTCGTAGTATACTTACTGTCAGTTATGTTGTCTAGAAAACCCAGTCTTTTGCTTATCTGGCTCACCATTTCCATGTATTCTGGCGATTTACGAAAAAGCGAAGCTTCAGAATTTTGGATTGAATCAATTCTCTTAGGACAAGCCTCTAACTGTGGTTAAATCACAAGTAAAATTTAATTTAATATTTCACCCATATAATATATATATATATATATATTTATTTATTTATTTTAATACCCCGATAAAACTTGAGTTTTTTTGAATTTTTTCGATTGGAACTTTATAGTTGAAGTCATCTCCAAACATGGTTTTAGAAAATTCCTCAGCACTGTTCATAACTTTTCGGTCTTCACTGGCATAAATCTAACGTATACAAACAATCGTAAAAAATTTAAAAAATAATTTTCTAATTTATATAGGTTCCATCTCATTACTATCTCAGTGGTTCAAACATAATTATACTTTTATAATGACTTATCTACCTTGAACGTATTTTTGTTGATCTCTTTTACTAAAACTTCACTCATTTTGTCCTTTGTCCTTTTCGCAAGTAGTTGCATGTCCATTCTACCCTGAGGTGAAATATCATCTTCTGAAGAAGGATTAACTTCAAATTCCCAACGTTTTAAACTGTCTAATACGCTTTTACATAGATATCCATCTGTATAGTTCAAATAATATAATATTAATAATGTTAACCTTTAATTGTTCAATGCTTTTAAATGTACTTCTACGTTCTTCGTGATTTTTTATCACTCTGTCTTTGAATTGATGCAACTGACGGATCGCCAAAGATTCGTTGGTATTCGGATAACTGGTGCCCGATCTGATAAACATCCACACAAACGTCGGGCGGCAATCTAAATTTAAAATTAATTTAGCTCTGTATTATCTTTATTGTGTATATTATAATATGCATAAAATAATTATTTAATTATTATTATTTTGATATTATATACATTAAATAGAGTGTAGAGTGTAGACACATGTTTTCGACGAATCAAACGATGACGGGTAAAAACAAAAATATTAATAAATCATCTTAATATGTTATATTATAGTAGTTATTGTCAAAGTTCTACAAACTTACAAGGCACTGGTTTGAACTTCGAGTTGAATATCAGCTGATAGGCAGTCTTATGCGAAAAATACAGGTATGGATCCGGGTCGTTTGGTTCGTAGCACGAATCGCCGCCGGACAAATTAGCAGACAAGAACGCGAGCAACAGCAGTGCTCTTGATGATTGACCCTTCATTGTACACGGGTCGGTGAACTATATAAATTATTTTTAATTCTTTAAATTGAAATTCTAGACCAGTCGTATAGTTTCACGTTTTGAAGACAATGTCATTTCAGATGATCCCGGTATGCGTGAAATTGATAGAATTGCGGACAAAGACATTGAAATTAATACATGCTCACTTATTCGGTAAGTCAACGGCTTACAAATTTACACGATACTATCGTCGTTGCACGTAGGTACGCGGATTAATATTTATAATGGTATATAAACGATGGTAAACGTTTATATCGGTGTCGGGACGGTATGAAACTGAAAAAAAAATCGATTGAACATTATGCGGATGGTAAAACTATGATTTTTGTTTTTGTTTTGCATACGTATATTGTATTTATATAGGAACTGCAACTATTTATACACAATAATACGATGTGGCCATGTGGGTAGCACAACGAATACACGTCACAGCTGGTCACACACGTCTAATAATATTATTATTATTGTTATAGTGATCGCTGCGTACTTTACGTCAAAACTAATTGGCAAGCATACGTTTACCAATGATAATCAAAACAAAATTTAAAATTATTTTCGGTAGTTAAATGTAGAGAAAGGTCATAGGAAGTGCCTGCAGTTATTTTGTTCGTCAATTTCATATTAGATTTATTAATGTGAAAAATATTATTTTTTATACCAAGGTACATTTACTTACATAATCTTATATTATTGAATAGTATTAATGCAAATATTCTCAACAGAGAATATGCAAAAGCTAAAGCTAAAGCAAAAGCTTAACTAGATTACGAGGCTAAGTGAATAGTTTACTTTCTATAGCGTTAAGCATTGATGTATTGATTTATATCATATATTAATTATTTTATTTAATTAAAATTAGTTGTAAGCAAACGTTTAAAGTAAAGCTAATTTAAAATTACATTTACTGAGACTTATTCAAAATCTTTCTTAATTTTTAGCACTTCAATGTTTATTTTAAGTTTGAGTAAACTTTACTAAAAATATAGAGAAAAATTATCAGAAAAAGTACTATCTCTACATTTTAATACATAGAAGTGTTTATGTAACTTTTGAAGTTTTTTTAATACTTTAAAAACATGTTCACAGAAAAAAAAAAACATTATTGTAAGCTTATGGTTAAAAACAAACAATAAAACGTTTAATTTTATACTCAAATTTCTATTGATCATTAAAAATTCAATACTGATAAAACACGATTTTAATTTTTTAATGTCTTACAATAATATTATACATAGAACCGACTACTGCGTTTATGAAATATTAATAATTATAGACTAGCTTGAATTTATTGAAAAAGCTCATTTAAAAATGTATAATAGATAAGCATACAATTAATTATTGTTATAATTTTTTAAATTTTTACAATTAACGTTATTTATTTGATAGTATATGATTATGTATGTTTGATAAATTATGTTTTATATTATATGTTCATTGTTCGTATAATATAATTATAAATATACAATAATGTATGCTTACTAATTCAATAATAGGTAAGTAGGTGGGTACTATTATACTAATACGAATAATTGAATGCTTTACTACAATATTTTTTTAGTTACATACCACTATAATAATGTAACTTACTAATACACTCAAAATAATCTAAAGAAACTGTAATTTAACCTAAATTTAGATGACAATAGATGAAGAAATTGTTGTGGTTAGCTAAATGTACTATGAATAACAGCATTCCGAAATGTCGTTGATAGTTGCATTAATATATTTTAGTTAACAGTAAAAATAAAAAAAATAAATAAAAATAAATAACTAAAAAAAATACGTTCTCGATGTCATATTCAAACATATAAACATTATAAAATATTTAAGATTGAATTTCAAAAAATAATTAACTGTGTAGTTATGTATTTATATGCATATGTTATGTTACAAATATAAGAGCATATTATATTATACTTAAATACATTATGTATATAAACATGTATGTCATATGTGTTAAAACACGTGACATTCATTTTTAATTTATAAATTTATAAACATATTTTGTGCTTTAACTGATTCGTTAAGTAAAAAAAAATTAAAATATTTACAAAATTATGTTATTATATGCTAGTGATAACCGAGTAAATATCAATTTCACGGCTATTCATGTGGTAGCCGGCAAGTACCTACTTTTTTTTTATCTCCGTTGCCAGACAATTAAACTTACATTTCTAATTTTTAATCCGCTTATCTATACTTAACAATAACGTAAAAGTCTGAATAGTCACAATTTAAAAAATATCAATAAACACAAAAATAATAACAAACAAGTTTACTGGTTATTATTGAGCGTTCGGCCATGTTGGCGCATGCTATTAGAAAAAAATGTAGAATAATAATTGAGTAATTTTTACCTTGTAATAACGTTGATATGTATCACTAAAAATATAACTTTTATGCGAACATTGTCACTACAGAATAATAATTACGATACACGACTCGGGTTTAGTTAGTACACATCATCGTCCATGGTGAGATGAATGCTTACAAAACGAGACTGGTTCTGTGCGGTGTACTAGTACTTAGGTCTTCGCTTGCGGTCCGAGACCCCCTCCCAACAGCTAGAAGCGAGTTCACTGCACTATGCACTCGCAGCTGGTTCTGTATGTGTTACCATATTATAACGTACGTATAGGTATTAGGTACAACAGGTTGACTATAAATATTATGTTTACGTTACGTTCATACATTTATTTATATTTTAAAACAGTGAAAATTAAGAAAAAAAAAAATAAAAACTAGACAAGCGCATATTAATAGTATAATACAAGTTACAACCGTAACGACGATAAGTTGTGCTGCGGTAATGGCATCTACCGATCGCCTGTTCAGCGACGGACTCAACGTGAACACGTCTTATACTGCGGCTCTAGGTATAATATTATATAGTCAATATATTCCTATTTCAATGACGTCTATTGGTATATTTATAAAATATTATCTCGCCTTGAATGGAATATTTCACGATTATTTCTCATTTGTTTTAAAACATACCTATAATATTATAATATTATATTAATAGTATGAACGACGTAGAAAATCTTGACGTAAACAAAAAATACGTAGGTACCTACTTACTAAAAACTTAGAAAATAAAACTAATATAAATAGGTATTAAATATTGTTATTTATTATTGGAATGTTTACCTACTTTAAAAATGATTGAATCGTACGTCATACTATAATAAAATTGAAGTATAGGCGATAAATACATATTTTAATAGGTATTAGTGAACAAAGAAGTTTTAACTTACATCGCAAATTATTAAATGCTAATACGTATCTATTATAATATTATCTACGTATAATATTAGATGAATATTTGGTTAGACAAAAAAATTAATTTGAAAATAATAAAAATGTTTTCAATGAAAAACCTAATATTATTTCCTCGTGTAAAAGTAATTATGTTTAGTTATAACTTATAGGTACACACGCCTTGTACGTCTATGATCAACCAATAATTATAATAAATTTACGAGTAAATCGATATGCTTGATGCTTCTATTTTCTTGTTTTCAACTTTCGGAAAATGTATTTAACCTACTTTTTTTGTTGTCGCGTAATTGAATTAAAATAATAAATGAACCATGTTGAATAATTTAAAATGCATTAGTTACTTTGAAAACAAATAAAAACGTTTACGTGTATTGTAATGGTGTCTTAATGTTTCACCATATTTCCAATACTCAATAGCGCACCTTATTATTTCTATAATTTGATACTAATTGAACATACGTACTGTTATATTTTGTTCGTTAAAAATGATATTTTAGTATAATAGGATTTATAAGTGATTTATGTTTGTGTTAGTTGGCATTGAAAATTTCGTCCGTGGTATATGTGTTTCGGATGATACTATATTATTATTTTAGTATTTAACTTTTACACTAAAATCATTTTAATATTTATGACTATTAATACAAATAATCGTTATTATAAATGTAATAATACAGATTATAAAAATTTTATTACTTCTTTAGGATGGTACCTATATTATATCATGGTTACTAATATTGTCACAGTATAGACATATTTACGTGTTCACATTTGTAGATGTGTGAGTCATTCTCAGTTCCTTGAAAGCATTAAAATCCTTAACCTAATCTATTTATTAAAAACTTGCATGCATCACGATAGATATTGAAAAGAGATTATTTATTTTTTTTTTTTAAGATGTATTGAGAATTTTAAAATTATTAAGAGACGTGACTTACTAAATAATGTTGATTTTATCGATTTTATACTAATAAAATGATTATTTATTGCAAGCATTCTTAGAGTTTGTTTGGTTATTACAAAATATATATACAAACATTTATGTGCATTTTTTGGCGAGAAGTTAGCGTTCATATAGTAATGTGTGTATGACATACTGCGTAGTACCTAAATGTATCTCAATTAAAATCGATTTTGAGAAGTAAAAAATTATTCTATCAGCTAGAAAAACATAAGAACCTGCCAATGAATTATTTGAGTATTGAAAATAAACCTTAACCAACGATTAACTATTTACATGGCCAATCTTATTTTTGCACGCGATGTCTGTCCGAGAAAATTTGAATATAAATATTGTACTACGTAAATAAATACGTTGAATTTTGTTATTTTATGCGCAGTTTAGTAATACGATGTCTCCCATGTGGGCGTATTTGCTAGTTTTTTTTTTATCGGTAATACATAAAGACGCGGCAAAACAGTCGTGTGATGGCGAATCTTTGATGAAAAATAACGACAAGTTGTCTAAGGAAGACGTTGATAATTTAATATCTATTGACAATCAGTCACAGATTAAAATGTGTTTGGTTGTGCTCGGAAAGGAACCGTTGGAAACGGGAATTGCTGAACTATTGTGGAGAGATTTAGTGAAAGTGAGACGAACATAATCTCATAATAAACATATCTTGCGTTTTGTTAACGGTGGTTTATAATACATCAATCACGCAACACATTGTTTAGGTTTATACAACAGCCGATGATATTCCTGAAGATGAGCTACAGCTGTTAGGATGGATATCAATTGGAATACCTGCTCAAGATTTTATGAATTTGTCTTTGACGGATATCGACACGATAGCATCATTCGGAAAATGGAGAAACTATTCTAAAGAACAGGTTTGCCATACTACAAACACATTATGTAGGTATTTGTAATTAAAAAATGGTTGATCATTTTTTTTTCAATTAAGAAAGTCATAGATATTTAATGCTCATATTATATACGTATTGTTTTTTTTTTGTTTTTGAAATTTTATATTTTTATAGCCATATTAGTGAACAAATTTCAAATTTAAATAGCATTCTACTTGAGAAAAAAAACAGTAACCTTGAAAAAACATATTTATTGCTCATCTAAGCCTATTATCTATTTTCTTAGTGCCTTTTTTTAAAGTTTTTTTTTAATTAGCTTTAATTAAGTATAATTATGTTTAATAATAGAACAGTAATAATAGGTAACAAGACAGTAATAATGATGAACTACTAATACAAAACTATTATCAGTTACTATTACTCATATAGAAGGCCATCCTTTTTAAGTATTAACTAGATATAAATAAAAACTTAAATTTTTCATATTTCTTCTGGTAAGATTAACATATAAGTGACAAAACTACTTAATGCATAAAGTATGTGAAATGCATTCATCAGTTATTTTTACTTGACTATGACACACTTTATAGTACTTACATAGTAATAAATAATAACCGTTTAGTATAATAAATATTTAAAATTTAAGTACGAATTAATAATTATACATGTTTTATTTTCATCTAGAAATATCAACACGTTATTAAATAACTATTGCATAATTGCATTTAAAAAAAAAAAAAACAAAAAAAACGTGAAAAGTTGCAAAATTTAATTAATAAATATAATATAGTGGATAAATACTCGTATGTAACAATAATATGTTATTATTTGTAATATTTGTAATTATTTTACTTTTTAAAACAATTTATTTTTTTTAATTCTTAATTAAATTTTAATTTTAACTATTCATATTACATAGTTGTAATAAATTAATAATACATTAAAAATAATTTTGCAAAAATATAGCTATTGATTTTTAAAATTTTACTCGGACGCAGTTTAAAATTGTCGTAATGTTTAGTCAGTTTTAAATCCAATCTTAATTTTGGTGAGATCACCCACAACTAAGTACCCAAAATACATAATATGTTAATATGTTTCATAATTAAATGTAATTTTTTTTATTCTAAACATTATTAATTATTCGTCACAATGGATTAATAATTATTAAAGAAAATAATATTAAGGTAAAAATAATTAAATGTTTCAATTCATGTGAAAAATTAAAAAAAATTTTCTGAAAATGTCTGTAGAAAAATGCTTAATTTTAAGGACAGTATTTACTTTTAATATTCATATTTAACAAAAAAAAAAAAATAAATATATATATATATACATAAAAATGTATACTTATAATTATTATCAATTGATTGATGTAATTTTGTCAAGCTCATGGCTTTAAAACAAGCGATCGAAGACCAATGGAGTTACAAGGGACCTTCCGATTTGAGCAGTTATGATTTAACTGCTTTAGGTCAAGTTTTGTGCGTGTTCAACAAATCATATATAGCTGCGATTAAACCAATGGCATACAAGTAATAGTGATATTTTTCTTAAACAGTGATATTAAAATTATACAACGCCTATAGAGCTAATATTAGAAATTTTAAAAACAAATATAAAAGCGGTACGTCCTATACATAATAGTACCTACTAAGTGACAAAAATTATAAAAAGGGCTGCGGCGGCTGATCTATCGAATCTCGTTAATTGTCCCCGAGAGATCGTGAAGGAATTTGCCTTACTCGCCATCAGCAAAGACGCGTTCGGCGACCCTTCGGGATGGACTGCCATACAGGTAAATACAGGTATTATAAGCGAAATTCAGCAAGAAAAAAGACATATTTTTTCGCCTCGTTTAATTTTTTCCTTTCTTTTCCTACGCGTTAGATAGCACTAATCGGGTGTGTAATAGCGGGATTGGACTCTGTACGTGATATTCAGCCCGACGCCTTTGAAGGGCTGTCCGCTTCCAACATGCAATGTTTGCCGAACGACGTACTACAAGTAAGCACATCATAAGTATTACACTGACATTACCTCCCTAATCGCGGGGCAGCTACGTCTGCGAACGGCTTGTGTGATGCATTATGAAAAGTAAATTTTCGGACGTGTCCGTCGCAGGCCATGTCAACAGAACAGCTATCGCAACTGTCATTGTCTGCCGTTAACGCGCTTACGCATGCACAGCGTTCGTCATTAGATCGCCAGCAGATCGAAGCCATCCAAGAAACGGCCAATACACTGGGCGCAGTACTAAACGACGGGTGTTTCACGAGTCATACGACTTGGCCGACAGTGACGTTGATCATCATCGCACATTTACAGTTAACGACATTAATAATACCATCATATTGTAGATTATAATATATATAATATATTACGTAAATTATTTACGTATAGTTAATAATATTACGATTTTTAATTAATTATAATAGTTAGTTTTAGTACATATAAATATATATATGTATAATATATCATATAATGATATGTATTACTTAAAAATCATATTTTTTTTTTTTTTTAAGTTTTTGTTTGTTAAAACATTACATAGTTTTGTGCTTATCGAAAAAAAAATATATATAATAATACAATAATATTTAAATCGTTATTGTATAAACACATCGAACGAGGAGAATCTTTGAAACGAAGGATAAACAGAAAAATACAATCAACACATAATATTATAGTAATGCATATATATATATATATATAATATATGGGTACGTAAAAAGAAAAGACAGACAAATCGTTACAATATAATATTATATAGGATTAATTGGGCGACTTTTCTATACAAGTCGTTATAGTATACTTATAATATAAAATATTTTCGTTTGCGATACAGAGTGAAACGGAAAGTCTGTTGCAAACTGGTAAGATAGGTAGAGGTATCTACGTCTAAGGAGACTCGCCTACGGTCGTCAGGGTTATCTAAACATCTATAAACAAACACTATAGCTATCAAGCTCTACCCGAACAGTTTGTATCACACTTTCGATCTCGCCGTTTCGTTCTACAATTAAATTCAATATGGTAATAGAAATAAAAAAAAAAAAATAATAATAAAAAATAAAAAGACTAGTTTCACTTTGACACGTCAAAACACTCGAAACGGTAATGCCGGAATGGATTCGGTATTATAACATCATAATATAATAATAATGACAATGACACAGTATATAGGATCCAATAACGCATACCAATTGTATAATAGACATAATTATTGTTGTTGTTAAAGCCGGCCCCGGTCTACAACGAGTCTAGCAACGAATCGAGCAGATCCATTTGCGAATCGTCCCACGTCAAGTTCGTGAGCATGGTTAGCTCTTCGTCCGTGGCGATTTGTGGCTGATGGTCGTTGGGTATGTCGATTATCGTGTAATCGACTACAGAAGACATGAACGGATCCACGGTGGCTGCGTTTATCGAACAGCTGTAGACCAACTCGGGTACGCCCATTGGCTCGTCGACCGGAAGTATCAACGGATGCTGGTGGAAACCGTCCAAATTATTGTCCATATGTCGCTGTTCCTCTTCCAGCGACTGGACGGCCAACTCGAGCGCCTTTTCGTCCTCGGCGGTCATCTCTCCGTGTTTCTTACTCGCGGCGTTGTTCTTTTGCTGCATCCGACTTGCCCGTCTCCGACTACCTGCGATGCAAGGCGATCAGTGGTTAAGGTCGACACTCATAAAATGTAATAGTCATTATTGGGGACGCGGTGTCTTATATCGTTGCACGAGCGTACCGCAAACGATTTCCAACAATAATAAAAAAAAACTAAAAAAACGTAAGGAAACACGCAAAAACGTGTGATATACTGCTATGTTGGAGTGCTTCAATGAACGCTTACTTAATGCATTTTTTTAACAGTTAGGTTGTTATGTTCCGAAAAGAGAATATTTTTAAGCGGGCTTATTTATACATTTTAATCATACAAACAGGTATTTATCAAGATTTGAATGATAGATGTAGATATTTAATTTTCTCACTATAAAAACGTACGAGCTATCCTCGTATTGTTCATTTTTGAAAAAACATAACTAGCAATTAATATTTATACTGTGATAAATAGAAATATTACAATTAATGTCTAATCGTAAGTGTACGAGCATAATGCATATAATATCACATACACCCACTGTAACATGTTATCCTAAATAAATGCCACAAATTAAAATCTTTACTCAACTCGTACGTTTTGTCTTTTTGAAAATTGTAGTTAAATTTATCGCAACTTAGTCTACTAAAATATTTCTATCACAATTATTATTAGTTATTTAAATGAGTTATAGTTAACAAACACAACACTGTCACGCATCAAGTGAAGTGAATTAAAAACATTCTTGACACCTTCGTCTCTATCTTGTCTGTTGTCTATCTATACATGATTTATATTTTTGTAAGTAATTATATAAGTCGTGCTGCTTACTTGTTCGTTTACGCCGAGCACCGCCTTCTAAGCAATCGACGTCAAACTTCCAAAATCCACCTTTACCCGGTTCGTCTTTAGATCGCGGTACTTTTACGAAGAATTTGTTTAACGATAAATTGTGTCTGATTGAGTTCTTGAGAAAAAAAAAAACCGTAAAATGTAAAATATTTACACATAATCAAGTTTTTGATTAAATATAAACCATTACCTTCCAACTAGGATCAGCGTTACGGTAGTACAAAAAATTTTCTCTGATCCAACCATAAATAGAACTTAACGTAACTTTATTCCCTTTAGCTTTCATGGCCATACAAATCAATGTAGAATATGAAAATGGCGGCTTTTTGTCTCCATTATTTCTGTATTGTTCGGCACTTTCCAAACCTGTAGCGAAAAATCAATAAATCAAAGTTGAGAAAATAATCCTATTGAACGACAATACTCACTCATTTGGAAACGGATTTTGTGCGGAAGTTTTTTGGGGTTCTGATCTGTTAAACGTGCGGGCGAATTTGGTGAATCAGGAGGAGTGGGCAAAGATGGCACCGAAAGTATATTCGTTAAACTATGCAACCAGTTCAGACTGGTTAGATCGGTGTCTGGTTCCGAGTTTACTGGTGCTGGAAGCATGGAAATCGATCTCTTGACGTCTAACATGATTTACTGCAATCAAAAATGAATATTTTCTATTATTATTATTATTATTATTTACACTTGCTTTTAGGTCTATTGAAGATTTAAAAAAATCGTTAACTTCTCCCCAGGGGTGCGTATTTGTCCAGGGGGTGATCATCAAGTTCCCCCGAGATCGTTTCCGACCGATTAACAACCAACTTCCGGACACATGCGTGCAGGATATCGGGGCAGGTTCATTCTCGATTTTTTTCCCCTCCTATACATGCAAAGGGGTTCGTTTACCTGAGTGTTGTTGGATTATTAATCACTTGACACACTCCGATAATGGTTTACATATTATTATGCGTCGTAAAGGTGCCTGCAATATTTTTGAAGGGGAGAAACGATTGTATTGTACCTACCCAGTGCGTATTATTGGCTTTACGAAAATGATTTCTCTATGAATAGGAAGCGTCACGAGCCCTTTAACCGTTCTGATGTGGGAACTTATCAACCTGTACACAGCTCACCATTGTACGCGTGTGTTTATTTTCAAAATCATTTATGAACATTTATTACAAAATATGCACGGAAAATTCAATAAATAATCTAAAACTATCAACAAACAATTTTTAAAATGTGCATATTTTTTTTTTTTTTTTTGTTAACCGAAACATGAGCAAATAATATTATTCAATGTCTAACGTGATTTTTGATTTTATTTAAACTCATACAATATCAATGCCGAAGCGAATCATAGAATAATGTTTCGGTATAAATTTCACGACCTCAACGGCTCAGCTTAACTCAATTAATTATCCAGTGTACGTGTATAAAAAAATGACCTTAACTTACTTTAAGCTTTGGTCATAATATTATTGTATGACGTTCAATTCATTGGATATTAGATATATATTTTTTTAGAAGCTATATAGCTATGTCGAACGCGTGTTTCGTCGCGTATTAATCATAATATTATACTTATATGCGTAATAGGTAAACATATTGCCGGATAACCGATGGACTATACTCGCACATTATCACACGGACAGTGGTTGAGCGTTGCAAAAAATGTGGCGAATCAGATAGTGTATTATACTGCGAGTTCTACGTTTTACGTAATGTCGCATTTATCTCGTATTGTAATCACGACAATAATAATAACGATAAACCACCACCGTCACTGCTGCCGACGACGCCGCCGCCGTCGTAGTCGTAGTTCCCCCCCCCCCCTTCACAGTTTGATTTACAAAAAATTTGTTCAGCCATTAAGAAATGTCGCTCGCGTGATTCGTGAACGAAATATTATTAGTCATTCGTATTTTATAATAATATAATATAATGGCCTGCTGCAGCGGGTAAACAATAGATCGCAGTCGGATGGCACTACGCGCGCGTATCGATTTAACAAAAATCCCCCTTGATAAGTTTCGAAAGATGGACAGAAATATCAAACCGTGTTCCTGCGCGCGTTTTATTATGCAGGTGGGTACGAACGCGTATATATATATATATATATATATATAATATGTATGACGTATGTTTACGTGGGAGAACTGTCATCGAATAAAACACATACAATTATTATTATCGTACATGTATATAGATAAATGTGTGTGTGTGTGTGTGTGTGTGTATCGCATGGCGTGTATGCGCACACACACATAGTAAAACGGCGAGGCCAACCGACCGACTATAACATGTACCCACGCGCCTATGGATTTCGGCCCGGGGGATAAATAATTCAGGGGTTTATTCCGTCAGACTACCCTTGTCCGGCGCACGGAATGGATTGGGCGGCGGGCGCGTGGGCGTGTCCGGGCGAGAAAAAGGGCTTTTCGCGCGCAAGCGCCCGCTTTTCGTCGATAATCTAAATACCCGCTGTATTCGGTTCGCGCCGAGCTGCTTTTTCTCCGCGTACACTACGATACCTATGTATATTATATATATTTGTACATTGTATTCGCGTATTACCGCAATGGACGAAAAACGTTTTCGCGCGCACAAATCGCCAACGCGAGTGCCCCCCCCCCCCCCGCCGGGTCACCCGTCTGCCCAAGACGACATTATTTTTCAAAATCAAAAACCGCACACCGCGATACGCCGTGCCCCCGACGGTTATGACACCGCGAGAACCTCTGGCACACCGCCGTATACCTACGCCGAAAGTCTTAGGACCAACTTTCGTTCGAACAAAACCGAATATAGTCCACTCGCGCACACAATCTACGCACAGCATTAAAATACGTTGTAAGTACTCTGCGAGTGGCGGCGGTGGCTCTGATTCGTCACATAGTTTGCGTTATTGACTTCTCGGACGTCACACGACTCAATGCGTACAAATAGTGAAACATAAATGTCTCTACCGACGTTTGCGGCTCCGCTGTGTGTATTAGACGACACCTAAACACGGCCGATACATATTATCATGTAGCCGACCGGCACGAACGTTATGAAAATCATTTTTCTATTGACGATCTATTTAAATATTTCTTTTTGTTTGAACAAACTAGGGATGATTAACGAAAAAAAAAAAAAAAAAAACGATGACACAAACTACAATAACTACGTATAATGTCGTTTCGTGGACATGCATTGTACAATATATCATATAATATGTACGATGCGTAGACATTGACCGAACATGCCCCGCAGTGCCCGCCTTTTATTCCGTTTTTCAAATTCTGATGATGAAATTTAAAGAAAAGTGTACTTAAGTACCATCTTTAAATACTTAAATTAATCGTTCTATATTTAAAGAGTGTTCTATCTAATGGGTCGATATAATCTTCTTTTACTCAAATAAAAATCAACGTTTGTTACTGTAAGTTGTTAGTCTGTTTTTTGTTGAAATCTTATGTTCGTCTTTATTAAAATGTCAACGAGTAGTTTTGAGTAATTAAAATGTGTATAGCTACTTATAATGATAGTTCTCAATGCCGTTTCACTAAAATACAAAATACATATAATATACAATATTTGAACTAAATATACTTATTATACTCGGACAATTTTTACAAGTTATAAAATTTTAATAGATTAATATTATTATTTACAATAATTTTCAAATAATTGTAGTAGGTACATGTATCTTCTAAGCCTATGATCATATTATACATGTTATTCATAGTATACGCAGTTAATATAACTCATAAACTTCTCATTTAAATTTAAAGTTAGATTATCAACATTTTTAAAATAGTTAACTGTTCAACAATTAAAAGAAAAAAAAAAATATATTTTTATTTGAAAAATAAAATTTGTATCACCAATTGTTACTACAAAAATTCGTTGCTCGGGAATGCTTTAAAATTAGAATTCAATTAATAAACTCATTAATGAAGAAAAACGGATGTAAATATGCTTAGTGAATCACTCTCTACTTAAATGAAGATAGGTATAATGTTTGATTTATTACTTGTCGTATGTGTTAACTATTAATATTTTTATTACATTAAGAAACTTATTGTTTTACAGGCGAAAACTAATGAATATGTTTTATAGTTTTTGAAACTCGTTGAAAGTCTTGCATAAGAAATACGAAATAATTTTAACTGCATAACATATAATACTACCTAATACGCATACTACCTTATAATTCTATAGTTTGCAAAAAACCTTTAAGTACATTAAGAATATTAAACTTTCATAAAACCATGCTTATATTATTATTAACAAATATTTTAAAATACTTGGTCTTTAAATAAATATAATTTTAATGTTTTTATATTATAAGGATATTAAGTTACTGTAAATTTGTCGATTTAATGTTTGACACTATGTTATACAATATGTTTGTATATTATGAAAATTAAAAATAATGATTATGGTTAATTTGTACTTCTATTGACCATTTTATAAATGTTTTTAGAATACCTGTATGTATTTAAATACGATGACTAGAAAACATTTGATAAGATTTTCAGTTATTAAAAAAAAAAAAAAAATTGTAAACTACCTTGGTACTTATTTTCATGAATTTCAATTTAAAATTTAAAACAATAGCAATCTTACTGATTAAATAATAACTATTGCACAATTTTAATAGATATTTTACAGATACACGAATGTTTTATAATTTTTTATATTGTTTTATTAATAGCTAGTAGTTAGTATTGATATTAAAACCTATTACTCACAAAAAGCATAACAAGTTGTAAACAATTATCTTTCTTGAATTTTCAATAAAACTTTCTTATATTTTTTCTCCACAAGTAGGTAATAAACGATCTGTATCAATAGCTCGACACAAATAGAATATGGGATAAAAGTTACAATTACCTGGACAAACTTTTTAATATAATTATATAAATAAATACTACCCAAAAAATATTTGCTAATTAAAAAAAACTATAACTATACGAAAAATGTTTTCGACAAATTATCAATATTTAAAATTCTAAAAATGTATTTTAAAACAACATAGGTATTTTGTGGAAAATTGGAATCATGTATAATTTAAAATATTATTACTTCGTAAAAATAATTAAATATTTATTTATGATACCTAATTGGTATATTTCCATAGTCCATAATGACATACTATACGGCCCTAATGTCCTATTATACGTAATATCACATATTTAATATTCCGTATCTCTTTTGCTTTTGTATTATGTTACACAAAAAAATAAATTGTTATACAATATGATTGATTAATGGATTTTAGTTCGATAATGAAGGCATGGTATTTAATAAAGTAAACCACGCTAAAAATTTCAATAGATAGATAATCGAGAACGAGGAGCAGTGTGATATCATGGGAAATGTAAACGATATGAATATAACCACAACATTACTCGTATCTCGAAATATTAGTTTTGCTATTATCTGCGAATCTGATTTTAGTACCACTTAATAGGCAGTTGGGTACTTTCACTATTCACTGACAGGTTCAAATTATTCTGTCTGTACAGAGATAATAAACAATTTTTCGATACCTATTTTAACACATTTCCTCTAAATATGAGTTTAAATGTTTTTTCTACGACTTCCTGAAAAAAGATTTTTTTTTTTTGTTTTTAAATTAAATAACTGATTTTAAAATATCACGCTTAAATTTGTGTACTATAGTATAGATATAGGGATAAAGTCTGTCTGCACTTTTGTCGTCTTTGTCTTAAACAAGTAGGTAATACACGATGAGTTGCATCTATTATATACGTTTATTAATATTAAATTGCATACATTATATTATCTTCGTGTATATCGTTAACATTTCAGTGTACAAAAATTACTACTGTTGTTGTAATAATATAACATCATGGTGCTCAAACGTACACGTCTTGCAAACAAGACCAGCATTCGGATACACTCGTATACACTTCCAAGCGGAACCTTTTGAACGCATTCTCAATAGAATACCGTACAATATAATAGGTACACTATTGGGCTATATAATATAGGCGATCGAGCGTAATATAGTAAATATATTGTGTGTACTTTGAATCAATATAATTCTATCTGGTGTGCCGGCGAACAAAAAAAATAAAAAATAAAAAAATAAGTAGAACGCGATATCGAAAAGTCCGTGGCCGTAAGCAAATATATTTTGAACATTATTCGAACTATACTTTAATACCTATATATACGTAAACCCTCGCCGCAGAGACTAATACGTGGTTTATTATTTTTTTGTCCGCTTCTTATGTAATATTCAGTGGCAAATGGCCGCCGCCGGTCCGTTTGAATGGACATCGACCTCCACTGAACGCTACCACCTCTTCCTCCGCCACCACAAAAGCTGCCACTGCTGAAGGGATATAATATCTACGCGAGGTAGGTGTACCCCCTGTGACCCTTTCACTGACCACCTACACGATCGATACATACACCCATTACATGTGCCGCTGCCGTCGCCGCCGTCGCCGCCACCGATTTACCGACTAATGCAAACGTTGAAATTAACAGATTTTTATCTATTTTTTTTTGGTTACGTTATACCAAAATATAATGTTTATTGGTACATATTACGTGTATACGAAAAAAGGGTAATTTCACGTCCAATTTTTAAATAAAAATATAAAAATGCGCACTCACACACACACACACCGGGCACACTGTAGAAAGGTTTTAATGGATTCTTGGGCACGACGAATGTGCGCGAAAAACATTATATTATAGTAGATCGCAATTTGACGAATTCAGAATTCGATTTGGTGTAAAAAACGTGTCGTTTCCGAATACAACAATATTATTTGAAAATCGAACACTATACAATATGTATATACATATACATTGTATTAAGAGTCTTGTTCTGGAGTGGTATTGATGTAATTGTATACGCAGCTTGAAAATTATCATCAATCATTTTACTCGTTAAATAAAGGCATACCATTAGAATAAACTTTAAGAATATCGATTAAACTCGAGAATAATATAATATTGTATTACGGGATACAGAATAGGTCAACAATTTATAAACCAATAGTGCAATAATTGTTGTACATTTGAACGTACAATTTTCGTCTGTATCAAGGCCAGTTTACTTATATTGTCGGTTCAGCGGGACTTTTGGAATACATTTGTACGCGCTGCCGTTATTCTATAATAATTATGTCTTATTCAGTTGGTTGGATTTTAGTATTTTATCAACTAAATACCGCTTAGATCTAATTGTGCTTCACACGCAATACGAGTAAAATGTATTTGTTTCAATTTAAAACGAGTACAATGTCAATGTACCGCAGAGATAACAAAAAAAAAAAAAAAATAAAAAAACCAAATTTCCATTTAATGGAAGTATCCAACACTTGATAGGTTTTTTTTATGGATTTTTTTCTTTAATCGTATGAAAAACTAATTTATAAAATATTAAAAGCGAATAAAATTGTTATTCCACCGTTTTTGTTTTAAATTTTAACTATTATCAAGCTGTGGATACATAAATTATAAGTTTCGTGCTCACATAAAAAAAGTAATAATGTCCGACTTATTAATCAATAAATCGTCGAAATATTATAATATATAATAATATTGTGCACGAGTATATTGAAAACTAAAGCAAATTAAAATACAATTTACTGTGCACGAGTTGAAAATAAAGTAATTAAGAACGCAAAACTGAATTAATACTGTGCGTTCTAGTAAATTCAATGCCTATCAAAATGTAATGTAATATGTATTTAATATAATTTGTTTTCTTCTTTACAGTAACATACTTATTATAATCGTTAATCGATGTGTAATAATTATTATAATAGTGCATATAAACATAGGTGTCATCTGCCAGCAGTCGTGAGCAGTCAGCAGCACAGAGGATGAATGTTTCAATTCGTCATACATCATGGCACAACTACTACAGATGATACGTAGGGACTACTATAATTATTATGTAACTCTATTTTAAGTAAAAATTACTAACTTAGCAATTTATAGTTTGATAGGTACCAATGTACCTGCTATTTGTTTTTTTTTATTTAAAAATTAAATTTTTATTATAACATAAACTCAATTAACCGTGTCCATCAATTAGCTGTATCACTTTTATTGTATTTTCAAGCATGTTTTCTTGACATTTTTTTCATAAAGATTAAATCCGTGTTCACTACACATACCTAATTTTATTCGCAAAATGATCATAATCGAATCGACTTTTGTATTACCTTCCATTGATGGGTCGATTATTACAAAATTTTACCAATTCGAAATAATTTATTCATTAAATAAATATTATAAATCGAATAGTATTATTTTTTTTCCTAAATATATAGCCGTTTGGTGTATTCAAATATATATGATATATATATTTAAAACAACAAAATTTTTCGTGTCAAAGACAATAAGAGCCTATAAAGTAGAATATGATTATAATTTTTATTCGGTATACTGTTTTAAAAATTTAAGCAAACATGTATTTTTTTAATTTTGTAAAAAAAATTTGGAATTACTTATTCCAAAGATCAACGAAAAATGTACCAGCTTAATATTTGTTATTTATGTTGACGATTCAACCGTTATGAATATTAAAATAATTAAAAGTTAATGAAAATATCGTATTATTTCTTTTTTGTACACATTTTGTTGTTCATTATTATATATTTATATATATATATTAATACTGTAGATTATTTAAATTCGTACAATCCTTAAAATTTTATTCACATGAACAATAATTTATTGGTAACATAGTTAATAAATGTTCACAGTACCTAAAGATTGTTTATTAATTAAAATCGATGAAATAGTAATAAAGATAATAATTAATAATTTTTAACATCGTTAAAAGAAAAATTAACGTTCTCATCTGTTAACGTTTATGAACTAGACAACTATAACGTTGTTAAAATTTGATTGCGATGAGGCGTTTAGCGCTCTCGCGAACATCTCGCTATTATATACATATCTACAATACATAAAAATTTAAGATAAGTAGAATAAATAAATTTTTAAGCCTGCAGCTGGTTGACCAGTTGATCGACTAGCCGAGTCGGTGCGTACAGAGATTCGTAATAAATCAACGTAGTAGGTACCGATTAAACTTTAATATAAAAATATAGGTACTCATGTCTATGACGTACGGATAAATTGCCATTGCGGCGACATATATTGTCATTATTTATTAGTAATTATTAATATTTATTTTACGCACACGTAGCGAATTACTTGCGTAATAATATGCAATGTAATACGGTGACGTGTAGGCACTACGAACGAGTACATATTATAACTGTTATACCTACTGCTCTGTGTCTGTTCTCGCACGGAACAATCATCAGATCCGGACTTCCGTTGTGTCCAAAGGCACAAGTACGGATCTTCTTCCGGACTGGCGCGCCGCCGACGTAGCTCGACCAAATCTTCCGGGTACCTGGTCCAGTACTCGACAAATCAGCGATTCCGCAGCGGTGGTTTTAACCGTCCCGTCTCGTCGCGGGTTGACTTGACGACGGTGCGGGGAGGTGGCCAAAAGTCCGACGAGAATAAACGTTTTGAGAAAAACGGGACGCGAATTCGGGGAAAACAAAAAAAAAAAAATTACTGAAAACGTCCGTTATAATGATATTATTATTACTTTGTGCTGCGCCACGGTGCGGCGCTACCCCCGAGAATATTATTGTAACTAACTGAAGCGCCCGCACGCGACCTCCGACCGGTCTGTGGGCATTCTACGTTTAGCGGCCCGGAACACAGGGCTCGTACTCGACCCCCACCAAGCCGCGCCGTCGAACGCATGTGGTCTAGCCGGCAACCCCTTTCCTCGCGCCCGACTGTATTCGACATTATATTACTATCGTGACGGCGGCGTTGGCCGAATACATTTCGTGTACGTACCGTACTGCGGAGGAGCAACACAGCGAGACGGACGCGGTAAAAAATACATTTTTTTGCGGTCCTCGGTCAGACGTCGCGTCGATATTGTGTAAAGGATAGATTCTTAACCTTTTCTGGTCCATGGACCCCTTTGAAGTATAAAATATAATCACGGACCCCCCCACAAAAAAAAAATATATATATATACATAAATAAATAAATGCGGGCAAGACATGATCATTATTATCTTAAAAACGCTATAAAAAAAAAAAAAAATATATTTTTGGGTTATTTAAAAAAAATTCACAGTCACTGTATTGACCACCGAGTAACCATTTACGGGTCCTTCGGTCAAGACCCTATGGTGTAAAGAGAACGCGCGGCGAATGTACTATATTATTTTTTGATTTTGTACGATGTGATGGATTCGTCGTGATGCGTTTGACGGATTCCGTTTGGTTCTTTTCGCCAAACGGAGCGAACCTCTCCGTCGCTGTTTACTTGCGAATGTATCTCCCTCGCGCAACGAAAACTTATACACGCCGCGAATAGCGATTGCTCAAGTTCTTTACAACGTCATACTTTGCATGTTGTCAAATAATATTATAAACGAGTAATTTGTCCGTATTGCGTGTATTATGACGTACCTATACGCGTACAATGTATATATATATATATAAGTTATGCAGTCGTCGGCAGATGGCTTATTTAGAAAACAGTTGAAAAACATTAAATCTTAAAATAGTTAAAGTTTGCGGAATGCGGATACGAGATAAAAACAGCAATGCCCTGCCACATTTATTTCTGGAGCGATTTTAAATTATTGTGACCTGGAGCTTTTGGACCGACGCCGTCAATGTCAAGACTTGATTATCATAATACCAAATTAGTACCCAATTACTTATGTGACAAAATCGACTTTATCGATTTTCTGGCCCGAATGAAATTCAATAAATCGACGTTTAATTTAAGATGAAACTATTTTCAATGTATCATTCACCAAATTCAACTACGCTCAAAATATCCGGAATATCTGAATACCACATTCTTAGTAACGTAGTGATAAATACAACAATTTTATTGTTTTGATTTATGCTTTGATCCAAGTCATTCAACTAAGATGTTTTATATTAATAGTTTTTAATTTATAATGTTATTTATTATTTATACCCGTATTGATTATTTACCAATACATTTTAATTAGGGCTTGGAATTTGATGACCTTAAAAACATTAACGACATAAAAAATATACGAGTATGCAAATATGATTTAATAATGACAAAAAATGACCTAAAAAATTATAAATATTTGTTTAAAAACTTTAAAATTAGTAAAAATACATTTTTTTTTTTTTTAATAATAATAATAATAATAATAAGAAAAATTACTCATAATTATTACATTGTAGTATTGTACAATAAAAGCGAACCTATTTTATATTGTCAAAAATAAAAATGACATCTAACAATTGCTTTAATCTATCGAATCTTTATCTTTATCTTATCTGTATACAACTTGTGTAAAATATTATTTTATAAAATATAAATTTGATGTAAATACTTTATACAGTCTGAGTAAGACAAAAACTATGCGTGTAAAGATGTTAATTGACAAAATAATATAAATATAAGAAATTGAACTAAAAAGGAAAATAGGACCAAAAATGACAAAAAATAACTTAAAAGGCCGAAAAATGCAAAATAAAAATTAGTTATTTAGATTCACATATTTATGAAACACATTTGTGGCCAAGAGAGCATCGTTTAATAAGTTTAAAAAAAAATGCGAAATGCATCAACTTCCGAGCCTTAAATTAATAATATTCTAAATAATAAACTCCCACCATTTGTGGAGTTACTACGCAATGAAAAAACCTAAATGTAAGTTGTCGATGACTCATACGTTTTACAACAAATTCGCTCAAGGAAAGAGATCCTTAAGAGTATAGTTATTGCAAGTTATTAATTGAGTACATGGTTTGTACAATAATATGTAGATACATTTTAAACATAAATTATTCGAGTTTCATTACTCTGTAGAATAAATTCTTGGTTTATTTCGTTTAGACCCAATATTATTATTGTATATGAGTAAAATCCAGTCAAATAAAATAGATAACATGGAATGATAAAATACGTGAGGTTCAATATATTTTATAACAGTATAAATAATATGGCGAACGTACTTAAAAATTACTGAATTTTATTTATAATATACTGATTCATTTGTAAGTCTTACCGTCAAGTATACGTAAACACGCGGTAATTTGTCCAATTACATTTGCATGAATTTCACGCGATTCTATGTTAATTAAATCATTCAACTTTTTCTCAGAACGTTTTAATTTAAACAACTAATTTTAATCCAATATCGTATCCAATAATATTTCATCATTATAATATTATACAATTATTAACATATTATAGCAACTAAAACGTTCGTGGCTGCAGCGTCCCGAATCGAATCAGCTGTAGGTTGTAAATAGTTACCGCTATTAAACGGCTATATAATATTCCGCCGATTCCAGGTGTATGTTTTATTCAAAAAAAAAAAAAAAATAAATAAATAAAATAATAGTAAAAACAGACATTCGACCAGTGAATTTAAAAGTGGAAAAAAATAATATATATCACCTGGCACCCACCGTTACGCAGCATTGATGTTAAGTCGAGCAGTACGAACCCCTAATTACATGTCAGACAATTGCTTTATTTTTTCCAATTTATAACGTATAAGCAAGGGTTTGGCACTAAAACAAATTCGTCCCTTGCAATAGGCGTTCACCCTAGCCAATATTATAAGTCCCGTAATCTTGACAATAATTACCTTCCGTGCTATCACGAGAAATTGTCGATTATATCGGATACATAGCGGTTTGGTTAACCGAAACGTTTTAGTCCGTGAATAATATACATTATTCGATTTACAGTGTGTACATACGTATGTACTATAATGACTACATTTGCAACAATAAATACTGGAAATAATAAGGTTTTATCGATCAAATGAAAATAAATATAGACGGGTTAACCTCTATCGTCTCCATTGTTGAGTACCATTACTAACTATCCTTAACTTCCTACTACGAACAGTTTATTTTTCAAATTTGAATTCATAAATTCTATAAGTGATTGTTATCATTATTCGTAATAAAGGCGGTGGAATGAAACAATGTCCTGAATATTTATATTACTATAAAATAGTGATACTGACATCAAAGAAGTTTCCCTACTTTATTCTAGGTGTCGAATGCACATCTTGAATTAAGTTTTCGAGCTTTATAGTAACGATTAAGTACTTAATCATCGATGTACCTATATAACTTAAGTGTTTCATAATATATGATGTTTTGAAAACTAAAGTTTTTCATATTTAAAATAAGAAGTGTATAATGAAGAAGTAATGTTAATGTTTTCATGTATTATGTATATATATTTTAAATGTTATGTAAGCTTCTAATTAATTAGAGTAACTAATTTATAAACATAGTTAACATTAAAAATCTATTTTATGTGAACAAACTTGTAATAGCATGTAATAATACTAAAATATTTTAATCATAATAAATAAAAAAAAAATCTATATATTTTTAAATTAGACATTGATTCGGTGGATTATTTATAAAAATGTTGTTATTTAATCTGAAAATAATTTTGTAAAAATGAAATTAAGTTATAATAATAATGATTTTATAAAAAATATTCTGTCAATACTCTAGTGACTATTTAGGTTTTAAGGCAATAATAAAAAAAAAAAAAATGAATAAAACAAAAAAAAGTAAGAAAAATTAAAGTAAAAAACTATAAAGATTTAACCTAATCTAACCATAAATAAAATTAGAAATTAACACATACAGTTAGCTGATCGGACGTCTAGCTGTTTTTTTAGTTTATTAAGTATGATTAACCAAAAGATTCCATAACCTGACAGCATGTTATTGACGAGTTTGGTTCTCGATAACATAAAGTCCATTCGTAAGTGACAAGTACCTATTATCTTATATATCAATTAAAAATCAATGTAAGTTTAGATGAGTCTATAGTCCAGGGTTGGTCCAAAAGATTGAAAGTCTGACAGGTAACAATATTTAGAACTCAAATTAGAACAGCAGAGTGAATTTTATAAAGGAACATAGTATGGCATCATTGGCGTAGAGAGTTTTTTAGTTCTCGCATTCTGAATTGAGATATTATTATACATATAGTGATTTACCAAGGATCAATACCTTTAAACTTTTAATTTTTTTTAAATCAATTTTAAAGTATTGTTTGAAGCCTTGAGCTTTGTAGAGGCAACGAAAATACTTAGATTCAATATTTAGTAGCTAGAACTTTTGTGAAAAACACGACTGGTATTAAATCATTAAGAAGAATTAAAATCGAAGTAAAAAAAATGCAACCACTTAAAATATAGAGTAGCATCAAAAAAAAAAAAAAAGGATGGATAGAGCGGAATTGGCAAAATAACCTCAAAAACCGAGAATCTAAAACAAAAAAAATGTATGTCTATTATACACTCGCATATTGCATTCAACTTAATTGATTAATTAAGTTATCTAAGACAAAACGTTTACAAAATAAATTTAACTTCAAATCATAACTCATTAGTGGTCGGTGACGCACCTACAGTATTCTAAATTCATCTTTTCGATAACAATCTTTAAATCGTTTAAACCAACAGTGACGATCGTTTTGGCAAATGATAAATTACAACAAAACGAAAAAATATTAAAATTCGACATTCATTTTAAAAACGAATTTAAACTTTACTGTTTATGTTTAGGTTTTGAATAAGTAACTGAAATGTAAAACTTAATTTTAATAGTAACTTAACTGTAATTTT